ACACACACATACACACAAAAAGGTTTATCTAAAATGAATTACAGCACTATTTTACTCAACAGCAAAAAGTCTGAAATAACTTAAGTAGGGAATTGATTAGAATGTAGTTCTCTAATGAATGAATCTTATGCAGTTGTTAAAAAATAGCTTTATAGGCTGGAGATGTAGCTTCACGGTAAAGCATGTGCTTACTATGCACAAGGTCCTGGATTCAATCCCTATCACCAAACAAAACAAAAAAGTAACTTTGTATTCACAATAATCAAAAGATTGAAGCAACCCAACTGTTTATCCACAGAAGAAGGGATAAACAAAAGATGGTATATATATATGCAATGGGAGGTCATTCAGCCTTAAAAAGGAAGGAACTTTTGACACATGCCTCAGAGACCTTACGTTAAGTAAATTTAGCTGGATGGAAAAGGACAAATATTGTTTAATTCCTCCTTCCATGATATACTGACAGTGGTCAGACTCTCAGGAATACAAGCAGGATGGTGGCTGACAAGAGCTGTGGGGAGGCAAGTGTAGTGTTATTGCTTAATGGGAATAGGCTTTCAGTTGGGAAGATGGAAAGTTCTGGAAATCAATGGTGGTGATGGTTACAACAGTATGAATATACTCAATGCCAGAAAACCCTTAAAAACAGTTAAAATTCTAAATTGTCTGCTATGTTTATTTTACAATAAAAACATTTAAAAAATAACACTGAAGATAGACACAGAAAGCAGTTAATGATGTATTACTAAGTGAAAAAAGCAGCTGGGGTGTTTTGGAAACATGAGTCTGAAAAATGTTTGGAAACAAAATTTATCTTGAAGGCACTAACTCAACCAGACAAAACACATTATCCTATGATTGCCTTTACAAAATAAATGAATGTGGTTTTTTTGATTAAAGTCAAGATCCAAAGCCTGAGACAGTGTAATGAGCACAGGTAACCCCAAAGGAAGATGGGCTATTGAAACTCACTCACCAACTTTGAGAAAAGTTTTTAGCTCCAAAGGTCGCAGCACTGGTTGCTTTTCTATGCGACCATAGGTTTCTGCTATGCTCTCTACTTCCACTTTAGGGCATTTAAACAGCTCATACGTCCCATCCCGGTTCTGGATAAAGCTACGGGTGATTTCCAAGGGCATCTGGACACAGACAAGACAAGAAAGGTGAGACAGAGGAAACTTTTCAAAGTAGACAAATAATGGGATGCCAATAGATCTTTTATTACTCCTTCTTTCTTGTTAAGTTCACTCAAAACTCTATTTTCAGCTAAGTTCTGTCAACCAATCTGTCATTTCTCTCCTTAATTTGAACCCAGTCAAACCATATACCAGCTGATCCTATAAGATCTTTATAGCCTTGAGACTGCTCCTGGCACAGTTTTACCTTCTCCTGCTGCTCCACTGGCAGCATTCTTTTCCTAAAGCTCTGACTCCATTGACAGCTCACCTCACATCCTGTTCTTGGGATTGAGCCAGAAAGAACCAAAATCAAACAGCAGGGTCTTTGCCACTGAACAGCAGGGTGATCTGAGCAAGTTACTGAATATTTCAGAGCCTGTTTTCTCATCTGTAAAATCCATGGCTGGGAGGGTGAACACAGCAACATAGGTGAATAATACCAAGCAGCAGTAGCTCAATGACCACTGGCCCTCTCCCCTCACTGCCTTTGCTCTGGGTTGCTTCAGTGGTTCCCTGAGTGCCACCAATTCTAGGCTACAAGATGCCTCTGGACGTCCTGGAGGGATGACATGACTAATGTGGAAAAGTGCCTATCTAGGAAGTGTAAGGCCCTGAGTTCAAATTCTAGTATTGTCAAATATATCCATCCATTAGCAAACCCTGCCAGTCCACCTCCAAAATACATACAATGTCTGAATGCTTCTTGCTATCCTCTCTGTGATCATAGGCCCCAGTCCACCGCCCCCTGCACCCTCCTAACTGGTGTCCATCTTTATCTTCATCCTCACACCTGTCCCCTAAATCTGCTCTTCTTGCACTCTTCAGAGTGCTCATTTTATTTATTTATTTTTTGGGTGTGTGTGTGTGGTATTGGGGTTTGAACTCTGGGCCTCATACTTGCTAGATAGGCACTCTATCACTTGAGCATTCTGCTTGCCCTTTTTTGTAATGGGTATTTTTGAGATAGGGTTTCTCAAACTATTTGCTTGGGATGGCTTTGAACTGAGATATTCCTGCTTTCTGCCTCCTGAGTAGCTATGATTACAGGTGTGAGCCACTGGCACACAGCTAAAATATGCTCTAAATGAAGACACCTTTTAAAGTGGGAATGCCCACTAAGGTCAGAGTCAGAACTATAATATATATTTCTTCTAAATAATCTCTTAGCATGAAAAACAAGGAACTCTCACTAGCAACTGGAATTCAGGGAATCAGTGGAAACTCAGTTACCACACTTGCTTCCCTCTTAGCCCTCCCACTATTATAGAAATAAAACTCTTACCTCTGGGGTATCTAAGATTTGTTTTACTTGTAGGATATTAGTGATATGCCAGGTGTACTTGGAAAATGTTCCCAGTGGCAAGGCATCTTTCCGAACAAAAGCTTCAGTGTAAAAACAGGGACAAAATTAGACCACCAAACAGTAACATTCTCTTCTACTGTATTTGTTACTCAGTTTCTATATCTCTTCAATGCAGAGCTATTCTTTCCTTATAGAATCTCAAACTTTTTTTTGTTTTGTTTTGTTTTAAATTTTGTTTGGTGGGACTGGGTTTGAACTCTACTTGAGCCACACTTCCAATCCATTTTGCTCTGGTTATCCTGGAGATGGGGTCTCTTGAACTATTTGTCCAGGCTGGCCTTGAACTTCGATCCACCAATCTCAGCCTAAGTAGCTAGAAATACAGGTGTGAGCCATTGGTGTCCAGATAAATCTAACACTTTTAAAAAGAAATTCTAGCAGCAAATATATAAGAGGGTTTGACAGATATGTGACAAACCAAATGCTATGGACTTCTGCTATATGAAGTCTCTGAAGCTTCTTTTAGATGGTATCTTATTTTTCCTACCTTAGAAACTTGTTTCTATGTTTTTTTTAGTACTGGGGATTGAACCCAGGACCTTGTACATGCTAATGCTTCCACATGCACAAGACTTATAACTTTAAATAAAATAGGCCAAATTGTATATATATATATATATTTTTTTTTAAGGTGTTGCGGTGTGAACTCAGGGCTTCATGCCTACTAGGCAGTTGCTCTACCACTTGAACCACTCTACCAGCCCTTACTTATGTATTTTTTGTTTTTGGAAGTTCTGGAATTTGAACTCAGGGTCTCCTGCTTGCTAGGAGGTGCTCTACCACTTGAGACATTCCCCCATCCCTCAAGTCAGTCCCTTAAATAATTACATGGAGTTTAAGGTTATAATGTGATTACCCATTGCCTGCATGCAGGATTATAACGCAGTTCTTGCAAAGGGCCTGAAAAAATAGTCAAGAGATTAAAATTAATGTACATTGGGCCTCAAGTTTAAACTTGAAGAGTCAATGCTGCTTCAAAAATCAGTAAGCTATGAAGACAAAAGTTTTTATGGCCCAAACATAGTGATTTACAGCTTGCATTACTCAAAAAATAGAGTGTGTTAAATGTCACAAAGTTACTATTATATCAACAACTTTCTCAAGAAACTGTATTGATTTCTAGCAGTAGTCATGCTTGGCTACTTGCCACTGAACAATCCTTTTCTCATCCTTTTCCCTTCTTTATTTTCTTGTACTATCTAATAAGTATTTGAGACTCCTAGAAGAAAGATGTTACATAAAATAAAGAAATAGGACTGGAGGTGTGATTCAAGTAGTAGAGTGCCCACTTTGCAAGTACAAGCCCTGAGAGTTCAAACCCCAGTCCCACTAAAAAAAAGAAAGTAAGAGATAAGTACCAGAATAAGATAACAGTTTTTGGGCTAAGGGCTGTAGCTCAGTGGCAGAGCATATGCTAAACATGTGGAGGGTCCTGGGTTCAGTCCCAGCACTTGAACAAATAGTTTTCCAAATCCCAAAATTACTCTAAAAATAAAAATCTTCCTTCTTCAAAACTTGGTAATAATGCCAGGTGCTGGTGGCTCATGCCTATAATCCTAGCTACTTAGGAGGCAGAGATCAGGAGGATCAAGGTTCAAAGCCAGTCCCTGGCAAACAGTTTGGGAGAGTCTATCTTGAAAACACCCATCACAAAAAAAGGGCTGGTGGAGTGGCTCAAGGTGTAGGCCCTGAGTTCAAACCCCAGTGCCACCAAAACCAAAACAAAACAAAACTTGGGAATGATGAAAAAAAAGTTTTGTTGTTTTTTTCTTTTTTGGTAGTGCTGGGAGTTGAATTCAGGGCCTTGTGCATGCCAGCCAAGCACTCTACCACTGAGCTACATCTCCAGCCCAGTTTTAGTTTTTGATACACACACACACACACACACACACAAGCTTCTACACACACACACACACACACACACACGCACAACAATAAGCTTCTAATAAGCTTCCAAGAAGTTGGCTTAAGTAAGTATTGGGGCCCTCAATACTTTTGTAGAAATTGATTCATACCTAGAAATAAATGTCTTGGTGGACACCTGCATTGTTCTTCATTGTTCTTTTACCAAGTTTAAGTTTTCTGAATTTTTTCATTCACTGTTACGAGGATAAGTATAGAGCCTTCAAAGAGGGTGGGGGTGTTCATTGCTCCAAAAGCTAATTATTGAAACTTTCATGCTCCAAGCATGTGCCTCAAAGTCCTAACCCTGAAAGTTCCACAGATTTTTTCCAAACATAATTCTCTAAGTCAAAATATCTGTTGCTACTCCTGAGGGAAAATCCCATACCTGTGGTGGAATTGGGGAGCCGTTTTTTTGCACTGCCTATTGATATTCTTTGTTGCAGGGCATCAAAAAAGGACTGAGGAATGTGAAACACCAGTGGTTCTGGCTTGCCTACAAAAAAAGTAAAGAACAGTCATTAAAAAAAAAAGAATCTCAGAATGTTTTCCTGATGTTTAGAAAAGTAAAAGAAATGAAGGAGCGGTAATTACTAAAAACACCACTGAGGTTTCCTTTCAGAGGCAAAGGCAGCTCTGATGGATCTTTATGAGCTAAGCACCATCACCAGCCTTGTCTTTAATTCCTGTGATCATAAAACACATACACAGCAGGTCCTTATCTTCCACTAAGGATAACTTTGAATCCCCACTTTTATAAATATCACCATAGTATATGTGATATTAAAGGGTACATGAAATGACATGAAAACACTGAGGCAGAGTGGAGGGGTCCCTCATAAACTATATCCATTTGATTCAGATTCACTCCTGCCCACTCTGCCCAAGTACTATTCATACCTAAGGAAAGTAACAACCTGCTCTCACCTGGATGGTGAGGACCATGAAAGGTGAGGGAAGCAAAATTAGGACACTACTTACCTAGTAAGCATCAGTCTTTCTCTCTGAATATGATTTCTATGACTTTTTTTTTTTTTTTGATAGTATTGGTTTTGAACTCGGGGCCCCACACTTTCTTGGCAGGTGCTCTACTTGAGTCATGCCTCCAGCCTATATGAATATAATCTCAAGGCAGATAAAATATTTCAAAGTACTTAAACCTCTTAAAGAAAATTGGATTAACAAATTTCTCTCCTCAAGAGAGGTCTGGGGAGGTGGCCAAATGAATTTACAATTTCCCTTAAAAATTCTACCCAAGGGGTTAACCCAGACAGAGGGAAAACATCCAGAATCATATGGATAAACACAGAACTGCAACCTACCTGGATACACCTGAAACACTCCAAAAGACAAAGTTCAAGTAACTTTTTGAGGGGTTGGTGGAGTGGCTCAAGTGGTAGACCGCCTGCCTAGCAAGCCTGAGGTGCTGAGTTCAAACCCCAGTGCCACCAAAAAGAAAAAAAAAAAGAAACCAGGTAACTTTTTGAAACAAAAGCCAAGCCAAAAAAGAAAAAATTAAAAATAAGCCAGGCACACCAGGTGCCCGTGGCTCACACCTGTAATCCACTTGGCAGGCTGGGATTGGGAGGATCTCAGTTCAAGGACAGCCTAGGCAAATAGTTCATGAGACTCCCCTCATCTCCAAAATAAGTACAGAAAAATGGATTGGAGGTGTGTATCAAGTGACAGATTGCCTGCTTTGCAAGCACAAAGCCCTGAGTTTGAAACCCCAGTACACCAAAAATAAATAAATAAATAAAACAAACTTAAAAAGAAAAAACTCAAGCAGTAGAGTGCCTGCCTAGCAAGCACAAAGCCCTCAGTTCAATCCCACTACTGCTAAAACAAAAACAAAAATCACAAGGAAAAAAGACTCTTTTTACAACCCTCCTGAGCTTATTTGTTTTTATAAAAAGTAATCTCTGAAGTTTTATTTATTCTCTATTAGTATCTGAGCATATATTTCAAGATCTCCATTCTTATCCCTTTCCTCATCATGAAACGGAACTATTCTAATCCTTGCCTCCTTCTTTCAGGTGTCTGCATCAGGCTGCTTTTCAGCTTGAGGTGCTTTATTTTTAAAATGATTTTCATAAGGCAGAAAATGCTCAGCAAAGAACATGAAGATGATGTGATCTCTGTAAAGATGCCATGATGATTTACCTGAATGACAGGGACTGTTCTTTGGAAACAAGATCAGATTTATTCCATGTGGCTAGAGCTCAGAACCAGAAGCAACAGTAAGTATTACAGGCCAACATCTCAACTCAAATTGTCCAGGGATGTTAAGAACTGCCTCAAAAGACAGTGAGCACTGGGTGTCAGTGGCTCATGCCTGTAAGCCTAGCTACTCAGGAGGCTGAGAACAGGAGGATTAAGGCCAGCTCAGGCAAATAGTTCACAAGACTCCATCTCCAAAAAATAACCAGAGCAAAAAAGGACTAGAGATGTGGCTCAAGTGGTAGGGCACCTCCTTTGCAAGTGTGAAGCCCTGAGTTCAAACCCCAGTCCCACAAAAAAGAGCAGTGAGCGTGTCATCACTACACAAAGCTCCAGAAACCATCCATCAAGGATACTCTTAAAGTAATGGGCAAGAACCAGTTGCTGACCTACTGTGACCTCACTGAGGTTCCATGAAGCCTCTCAACAAATCATACCCAAATCCAGCCTGTTCTCTAATCTTCTAAGGAAGATGTCTATGTAATCTGATACATAACTATCTCTTTTTTTCTTTTTGGTACTGGGATTTGAACTCAGGGCCTTCACCTTGAGCCACTCCACCAGCCCAATTTTTATGATGGGTTTTTTGAGATAGGGTCTTCCAAACTATTTGCCTGGGCTGACTTCTACACTCTATCCTCCTGATCTCTGCCTCCTGAGTAGCTAGGATTATAGGTGTGAGCCACTGGTGCCCGATAAAATGACTATCTTAGTAACTATCTTAGTCTCACATGTTTAGGCTTTCTCTAAGTACACCCCCTTACCCCCTTGCTTTGGTTTTACATTTAATACAGTGAACTTCTAAAGCTTTGGGATCATTCTCATCAAACACACAAACACAAATAGTCACAAAAGATCAGGGCAAATTACTATTTTATTTATTTATTTATTTTTTGAGACTGTGTCTTGCTATGTTGCCCAGGCTGGACTCTCGAGTTCTAGAACCTCCTGCCTCCACTTCCTGAGTGCTGAGATTACAAATGCTCCACCATGCCTGGCCTCAGACTACCCTTAACTTCTTATTTTTCATGTTTTCTCTTTTTTATCTCTGAATTAATTTTGTTGGCACTATACTTTAATTATGATTAATCCTTTCTTCCAACCTTGATTTCTACTTTCTTTTTTATTTGTTTCTGCTTTTGCTTTTTTTTTTTTTTTTTTTAGGCAGAGTCTTGCTATGTAGCCCAGGCTAGCCTTGAATTCACGATCCTCTTTCCTCAGTCTTTGGAGTACTGAGATTACAGACCTGTGCCACAACACCCAGCTTGATTTCTACTTTATAATTTCTTGTGATCCAATGCTCTCTGGACTGAAGTTCTTTTACTTTTCCTGTTAAAACAGAATAGAACTATAGCACAATTACATTAATTTCTCCTACTTTCAGTAAGAATCCAGATGGGTGACTAATACTTACCATCAAATTGATAGTGCATGGTTTGATGGATGCGCTCTGTGACACTGGCCAGCCAGTCTTGAAAGGATAAGGTCACTTGTGCCTCATCTAACAGCTGACCACAGACTAGGAAAAGGGGGAAAACAAACCTTTTTAGTAACTTTTTCTTTCAATTAGTTGAAGTTTGAAAAAGTTAAGTAGTTTGTGCAGAAAAAAGAGAACATTAAGCTGAAATCCAACAAAAGTAGATAAACTAAAGTAGATTCTAGGACTTTTATTTTCTTTGCAGTTTTATTTATAATAATTGCACATATTTATAGGGTACAGTGTGATAATTCAATACAGACTTAAAAAAGAAAATATCCACTTAAGAATATAAAAGCCCTTTAGAAGACCGACAGGTTTAAGATTACTAACTACAGAAAGTTAGTCAGGGCCTTGTGATTGCTAGGCAGGTGCTCTACCATTTGAGTCACTCCTCCAGCCCATGTTAGTAAACAAGCACTGTATATTAAAGAATATTATGCACATTATAGATATTTATAAATTAGTTTAATCCTGATGAGTATATACTTACATATCCCTAACCCTCTCAATAATGGAGCTGTTTCTTTCCTATCAAGGTTGAATATGCCTAAAACTGAGTGACACATACACTATAGGTTGGTATGGTAACTTTACTTAATTCTGAAACTTTGTATTAAAAAAAGGGAAAGATGCTGGGCGCATCTGGGAGGGGGAGTTAGTGAGGAAATCAGTTCAAATTTGAGAGCTCTCTTCTCAACCAATGGCTGGGCATGGTGGTGCACACGTATCATCCAAACTATGTGAGGGAGCACAAATACAAGGATTGTGGTCCAGGGCAGTCTGGGCATAGAATAAGACCCTATCACAAAAAGAACCAACACAAAAAAAGACTAGTGGAGTGACTCAAATGGTAGAGCATCTGCCTAGCAAGCACGAAGCCCTGAGTTCAAGCCCTAGTACTGTCAAAACAAAACAATAAAAAGGAATGAAAATTCACTGGGCCCTGGTGGCTTACACCTGTAATCCTAGTGACTCAGGAAGCTGAGATCAGGAGGATCATAGTTGGAAACCAGTTCTGGGCAAATAGTTCTAGAGACCCTAGCTCGAAAATACCCATCACAAAAAAAGGGCTGGTGGAGTGGCTAAAGGTGTAGGCTCTGAGTTCAAGCCCTAGTAACACACACAAAAAAAAAAAAAAAAAAAAAAGGATGAAAATTCATTAATGGAAAAGGGAAAATCTTGCACCCCTGGAGTAAATAACTGGGAAGTTCAGCTTACAACTGGTACAGTTTAATGAGGCCAGAGTATAGAGTTGGGAGTGCATGGGGCTGAGGGTGTGGCTCTGTGGTAGAGCATGTACTTAGCATGCATGAGGCCCTTAGTTTAATACCTAGCACTGCTGCAAAAACAAAAAAGACATAATTTAGGGTTTCTGTTTATTTGTTTTTGGTAATCCCTAAAGCTTTTAAAATGTAGTTTAAATTTTTTTCAAGATAATTGTATATTCCCATGCAAGTATGAGAGATACAAAGCTTAACTGGGTGTGATGGCATATACCTAAAATCCCAGCACTCAGCAGGCTAAAAGCAGGAAGTTGTTGAATGTGAGGTCATCTTGGGATAAATAGCAAGACGCTGTCTACTAAAATGAGGATGATGATGATGATAAGAAGCAGCAGCAGTGGCAGCAGACAGGTAATAGTACACATTTGTAATCCCAGCCACCTGGGAAGCAGAGGCAGAAGGGTTGCAAGTTTGAGGCCAGTGTAGATAAAGGTAATGAGGCTTTATCTCAAAAGACAAAACAGAAACAAAAGGAGTGGGGTCAATGCTCAAGAGGTAGAGTGTGAGGCCCTGAGTGTAATCCTGATAGAAATAAAAACAAACAAACAAAAAATTCCAACCAACCAAAAACTTAAAAAAGTCTGTATACCCTTTACCTCATAGTAATATTTTATAAAATGATAGTACAATATCCAATCAGGAAAATATCATGGACATAATCCAGAGCACCTTATTCATAGTTCACCACTCATGTGTACAGGTATGTATGCACACAGTGCTATGCAATTTTATCACGTGTGACTTGTGTGACTGCCACCAGTCAAGGCACAAAACAGTTCCACTGTAAGGCTCTTTTCTTCTAGAAAAGCACTAATCTGTTCTCTGTTTCTATGATTTTAGACATCGCTTATTTTGATTTATTTAATTAATTAATTAATTTATTTATTTAGTGGTACTAGGGTTGAACTCAGGGCTTCATGCACACACTCTAGCACTTAAGCCACTTCACTAGCCCTTTTTGCATTGGTAAAGTGTCACTTTCTGCCTCAGCTTTCATCTTTCTATTTGTGCTGTCCCACATAGCTAGGATGACAGGTATGCGCTGCCACTGGTTGAGGTGGGGTCTCACAACCTTTATTTATTTTGCCCAGGCTGGCCTTGAACCAAAATCCTCCCTATCTTTGCCTTTCAAGTAGCTAGGATTACCAGCTTGAGCCCTGTGTCCCCATAGTTTATTTTTGAGCATGATTTGAAACTCATAGGATAGGATAGATCAGTTTACATAAATTCCTATGTTGCTAATGTAAACATTATTGAGTCTCAATAATCTCTTGATTATTGAGTCTGACTTCTTTAGGAGAACTTGCCATCACTGTATGCTGTACTAGGGAATGGAGACTTACCCTGCCTTTTTAATGAAGATGCAACGACAGGTTTTTTCAGGCCACTCTTCCTTAGATTGCAGCTCACTGCATCTTGAGGAATTAGTGAATTGTTCATCTGTGCACCTAAATCACAAATCATTATGGTGTTTAAAAACATGTGCAGTGAAACACACTGAAAGCTGTTGAATAGTAGGCAGCAGAGGGGGAAATGGTGAGGAAGAGTAATTGAGGGGCTTAGACTGATTAAAGTACAATGTATTCATAGGTGAAATACCAAGGCGAAACCCATTTGAACAATGAATATACACTTAAATAATAAACGACAGTTATGTGAAATAGGTCCTGTTCAGGGGTGGATACCAGTGGGAGGGAAAGGAGGAAGGGAGAGAGGATGTACTTTATATGCTTGTATGAAAAAAGAAGATTGAAACCTATCAAAATCATTTGAAGTAGGGAGGAGGGAGATGATAAGAGAATGATGGTGAGGATGAACCTAAACACAGTATTTTGTAAGCATAAATGAAAATGTCATAATGAAACCCTCTGTACACCTAGTATATGCTAATAAAAATGTTTTTAAAACACCAAAAAAGTATGCAGAATATATAAGTCAATTTGATATTAATTTCTAAAAAGTCTAAAACATAAATGGTCTTTGCTAATTTCTAGGTTAGTTCTACCTGTTCTAGAAGTCAGCATCAGACTTTATGTATTAAATTTTAACTTTTTATGTTGATAATAGAAAATTAGGAGTGAAAACACAAGTGAAAGGAAGAAAAGAATTCATCCATTGTTCCCACATCTCAGATAATCATGATTAACTTTCTAGTGAGACCTCTTCCAGTTTTTCCTCTGTGAACAGTTTTCCTTCTTCTTCCCTTCCCTCCCTCCCTCCCTCTGTTCTCTCTCTTTTCTTTCTTTCTTTTTTTTTTTGTGGTAGTAGGGATCAAACTTAGGGCCTAATGCTAGGCAAATACTTAACCACTGAACTACATCCCCAACTCTGGTTTTGTAATTTTTAAGTAGTTTATACCAGGGTTGCCAGATTAGGTAAAAGAGAAGCAACTTTTTTTCTTTTGAATTTAGATAATTTTTAAAACATCTTGTAATTACTTCCTACAGATCTAAGAAATAGTCCTGTAAGTAAAGCAAACCACACAACACCATTACCGTGTGAGGCATTTCCAACAATATCAATAAATAAGTTTTTAGTATAAGTAAGTTGTATCAGAAAAAGTTATACTAGGGTTAGGAGTACAGCTCAAATGGTAAAGTGCCTGCCTAGCAAGGACAAGGGTAAGACCCTGAATTCAAACCCAAGTAGTGCTAAAAAAAAAAGGGAATAGTTATACTAAAAAGTTATTATTTATTTGAAAGTCAACTGAGCAGTCTATACTTTATCTGGCTACCTGAATGACCTAAGCATTTCCCCAAATTCTTGGGTTATTTTTTGCAGGCTAGGAACCCACGGCCTCATGCATGCTACATGAACATTCCACATCCCTTGCCTTCCCTCCTACCCAAATTCTTTATAATCATTTTTAATAGCTGTCTGCCATTCTAGGGTAAAGTGTCTTTACAATGTTTCATTTAACTATTTCTAGTACAAATATGTGTATTTACTTGTTAATCTTATATTTATATATGAAAATGTTAATCATATTTATTTAGAAGTGGGAGTACTGAATCAAAGGGAACTTTATTTTTAATTTCAAGTTTTCCTGGGAAGGCCAATAAATAAACATTTAATAACAATCTCTATTCTATATTACTATCATAGCTGCCTCTCTAAAACAAAAATGTCCATGTTATTTTGCTTCTCTGTCTTTTTCCAGGTTCCTAGCACCAAAACTCCTGTGTGCCCACCTGACTCACTTTCCTCAACATTCCCCATTAGGAGGACCATTTTAGGGTTCTTAACAGATACTGCATTATCTGTTAAAATTAGCATTATGTTAATTGTGCAAAGTTTCATTGTGCTTCAACCTGCTTTTAAAAATGGTTATGGTAATTTATACTACACTAGCCATGTCTAGGAGCCTATTTCATCGTTACCTATGGTCTTATCATTTCTTTAATTTTGCATTTCTTTGGCAGTACTGAGGTTTGAACTCAGGGTCTTGTGCTTGCAAGGCAGTGCTTTACCACTTGAACCATGCCTTCAGCCCTTAATTCTGCATTTCTAAAATGTTTGCATTGCACTGTTAATATTTTTTTCCATTTCCATTATGATATATTCATTGTACAGGGGGGATTTGTTGTGACAATTCAGAATAGTCTTACATTGTATGTTGGTTAGATCACCTCCACCATCTATCTATCTCTGGCAAAGTGAGTTTGCAGTTTGGTCCACATATGTTGATCAGGTAATGTTTTCATTTCGTTTACAGTCTAGATCTCTTGAAACTTAACTTACAAGGATACTTCAGCAATTTCACATTGATTTGTATGAGTCCTTAACTGACAAGGATATTAAGCATTTGAATTTGAATTGTGTGTGTGTGTGTGTGTGTGTGTGTGCAGACAGCCTCTGATTTATGATGGTTTCATTTTGGAATTTCTGACTTTACGATGGAATGAAAGCCATCTGCATTCAGTAGAAACTGGATTTTTCCTGGGCTAGCAATGTGTGGTACAACACATTCTACAATGTACCATATTGCTAAGCTTTGATTAAGGTACATGTAGTAGATGCACTTTGAGACTTGTATTTTCAACTCATGATGGGTTTATCAGGATGTCACTTAAATTGTGCTAAGTTGAGAAACGTCTGTAGATACATGCTGAAAATGGAGACAAACTATATGCCTAAATTAAGGTAGTAAATACAACTATCCATTGTCATAAGATTTTTGGTGCTGGGGGTTAAACCCTGGGCTTTGCAAATGCTAAGCATGTACTCTACCACTGAGTTACATCCTCAGATGCAAGTTTTAGTTTTTTTTCAAAAATGAATTTAGAGTTGAGCTAGTCAGGCCTCACTAGCCATGTTAAAATCATATGCAACTTTATGTTTTGCAGTGCTGGGCATTGAACACAGGGTCTTGCGTGTGCTAAGCAAGTGCTCTAACACTGAGCAACACTCCCAATCTTTTTAAATCCTTTAGGAAACTTCCTGATATTTTCCTAAGGCAGATTAAGGCATAAAATTAATCTGACATACTTAAGGGATTAACAAATGTAATAAAAGTGGAGTTTGGTTGGATTTCATTTTTTTTTTTTTTTTTTTGTCAATAGAACTTTTAGCTGGACTTGACAAAAAATTATCAATGGATGGTAAAACTATTTTCAGGGAAAA